TGCACATTCAACACAACATGCTTACAAATTCCATTACTCTTCACTTTGTTTCCCATCCCCATTGTTATAAAATACTCCTTCGTTTTATCAATCTTCAGATTCAACTTATCTACTATATTTTTGGAAACGAAATTGTGAGTTGCTCCACTATCGATGAGGATTACCACTCTTTGACCTTCTATGCTCCCTTCCATTTTCATTGTCTTCGGATTCGTTAGGCCTACTACCGAATTAAGATGAACTTCGACTTCTTTGCTCACCTCAATCACGTCAGCTGTATTCAACACTTTATCGTCCTCAACTTCACTACCGAAATCCCCCGTTTCCTCCTCTTGTACTAATAAAGGCTCCCAGACCACTCTCCTCTTACTGCTGTGTTTCAATCACAACAGCGATTAAGCAACAACGGTAAGCTCCAACGTCCCCTTGCTAACGTTGTCCTCTCACCATCCTCAATATCATTATGACTGGCATAGAATCCTCTTCCCAAACCCACTCAGAAGTCATGTTCAATTCAAAGACTTCTCATCAAAATCCTCTAGGAAACTCTGAGAGTTTCCTTCCAATTACTGGTCATAAACTAAAATGGCCATAATTTCCTTCAATGGTCTCAATCGTCATGCTATACATACATGGTCGAGGAAAAGAAGATCACCTTACAGGGCTGTTCCTGCTCCTAAATCTAATGAGCCCAGTCTCAAGAACTGGAAATCAGAAAACAATATGGTGATGGCATGGCTGATTAAATCTATGACCCTAGAAATAGGGGAAAATTTTCTTCTCTACTCTACGGCTCAAGAAATATGGGAGGCTGCCCGAGATACTTTTCCAGTAACGAGAACACTGCAGAATTGTTTGCCACCAAAAGCACACTCCATGATTTACGTCAAGAAGAGTTATTTGTCACTGCCTATTACAACTTACTGACTAGGCACTGGCAGCAACTCGATCTTTATGAAGTTCATGAATGGAAGTGCCCTACAGATTAAGCTACAATTCAGAAAATGGTAGAGATGAGAAGAATATTCAAGTTCCTTATGGGACTCAAGCTCAACAAGGACTTGGATGAAGTCCAAGGACGAATTCTAGGGATCAAACCACTAGCCGCAATCAGGGAAGTGTTTTCGGAGATCAGAAGAGAAGAAAGCCGTAAGAAAGTCATGATGGGGACAGTCCCTTCAACCTTACAAGTCGATCGATCTGCCCTTGCTGCATGAGGATCCTCATACCAGCACTCAAAATTCACATCCAGGAGGGAATCACTCATCATCAAACGAAAGCAGGCACAAAAGAGGAAGGCCATGGTGTGACCACTGCAACAAACCCGGCCATGTCTGGGATAACTGTTGGAGAATACATGGAAAGCTAGCTGATTGGAAGACTAAACGAGCAACTAATGGCATTGAAAGTCGTGGAAACCTTGTGTCTACAACTAATCATCCTAAGACCGAGATTCTTCCATTCAACAAAGAACAAATGGAGATTCCTCAAAGGATGTTTGGCTCGATCGAACAACCGGCAGGTATCCAAACAACAACTATGGCATCCTCTCTGATCTCTTCCACCCCAAGCTCGGGAAATGGTGCTCAAATAGGTATTCAACCAGCAGCCTTTACTGTCTTAAATGAATCATCTCAAACCTGGATAGTGGATTCCGGTGTATCAGATCACATGACTGGAAACCCACAGTTGTTTGATGATTTGAAACCTTGCTCACATTTATTCGTCCGAAATGGAAGCTGCTCCAAAGTAACAGGCCTCAGATCCATCAAGGTGTCACCGAATATCACTCTCAAATCTGTCTTCTATGTTCCCAATCTCAATTGCAATTTATTATCCGTTAGTAAACTCGTTTTGGATAACAATTGCACCACTAATTTTCATACCAATAGTTGTGTTTTCAGGATTCTGATTCGGGGAGGATGATGGTCAATGCTAAGATTAGTGCAGGTCTGTACCAACTTCAAATGCAACTTGATCCAAGTCACTCTGCCAACCATACCCACCTTGCACCAACGAATAACTCAACCAATCCTCCCATATCAAGTTAGAACCAGCAGGATAGCAAGATCTTAAATCTACATTATCGTTTAGGTCATCCTAATTTTAGCTATTTGTCTCGACTATATCCATCATTATTCAAAAATAAAATCCTCATTTATTTCAGTGTGATATTTGTCAATTGTCAGAACACTCTCTCACAATATATCTACCTAAATTACACAAACCATCTCACCCTTTCTCTCTGATACATAGTGACATATGGGGAAAAACAAGAGTAAGTAATGTAACAGGAGCTACGTGGTTCCTACTGTTATGGAAGACCATACTCGTCTCTCTTGGGTATTTCTCATGAAGGAAAAATCAGAAACCAAAAGCCTTATCAAATTTATACGATGATAAAAACCCAATTCCACACAAATATCCAAGTTCTAAAGACTAACAATGCCTCAGATTACTACAACAATGTCCTTGGAAACTACCTCTTTGAGCAAGGGATTGTACATCAAAGCTCATGTGTTGATACCCCTTAACAAAATGGGGTTGCCGAGTGGAAAAATAGACACTTACTTGAAACCGCTCGTTCCCTTCTCTTTACCTCCAATGTCCCCAAACACTTTTGGGGAGATGCTATTCTCACCTCTACCTATCTCATAAACCGAATGCCATATTGAGTCCTGAAATTCAAAACCCCATGGCAGGTCCTTTTATAGTCATTTCCTAACACTCATCTCGTCTCAGACATACCTCCAATTTTTTTGGGTGTACAACCTTTGTCCAAATTCATCCACATCAAGGAAGCAAACTTGACCCCGAAGCTTCAAAATGCATTTTCCTCGGCTATTCTCCAAACCAAAAAGGGTACAAATGTTACTCCCCTTTTGAATGGAAGTTCTTCACCTCGAACACCCTCTCACAAATGAAGGTATTCACACTGACCCAATCCAATCTCTTCCAAAACCATTGAAGATCAAACTCTCTTCCTGCATGTGCCAGAAACTAAACCATTCCAAACTAACCTCACCTATCCTTCCACCGATCATTCAACCAATCCTATGACACCAATAGAAAAATACACACCTCAACCCCCAAAAGGAAACCCTAGTCTACACCAAGAAAAGGAAGCAGGACTAGGAAGTACAGGCCATACAATCTGAGCAGTGCCACGAGTCTCAACCAATTCCAACTTCTGAATCTCAAGGTATGTGCCCTAGTGAGCCTACTAATGCTGATAATCTAGATCTTATTATTGCTCTAAGAAAGAGGGTTCAGACCTGTACTTCACATCCAAAAAGAATTTCGTATCTTACAATTTCCACTATCACCCCAAAAAAACCAAACTCTGCCTTACGTAAAGTTGCCATTATCACCTAATTATCGTGCCTTTGTGTCAAGATTGTATAAAACTCAGGTTCCCACCTCTATTCTCGAAGCCTTACAAAACCCAGCATGGAAGGACGCAACATTTGAAGAAATCAAGGCGTTGGAGAAGAACCAGGCATGGGAGATTACAAACCTTCCACCAGGAAAGAGGACAGTAGGTTGCAAATGGATCTTCTCAGTTAAGTACAAATCTGATGGAAAAATTGAGAGATACAAGGTGCGATTGGTAGCTAAAGGATTTACTCAATCATATGGGATAGACTACCAAGAAATATTTTCACCAGTTGCCAAGCTCAACACCATCAGAGTCTTGTTATCTATCACTGCAAACCTAGATTGGCCACTACACCAACTCTATCTAAAAACCGCTTTCCTCAATGGCGAGCTGAAGGAGGAGTTTTCATGGACATTCCACCTGGATTGGATTCAACTCACAGGCAAATCAAGGCAAGGTATGCGAACTCAAAAAGTCACTCTATGGCCTAAAACAGTCCCCATGAGCCTTGTTTGATAGGTTCTCTAAAGTTCTCAAAAGAACGGGATACACTCAATGCCAAGCGGACCACACGCTCTTTGTTAAGCACACCTCTGATCAAAAGGTAACCCTTACTGTCTATATTGATGATATATTCCTGACCGGCAATGATCACATAGAAGTTGGCCGTCTCAAAACCCTTCTGTCAAAGGAATTTGAGATTAAAGATCTTGGAAATTTGAAGTATTTCCTTGGAATGGAAGTTGCTAGATCAAGAAAAGGAATCTTTATCTCTCAAAGGAAGGATGTCCTAGATCTCCTGAAAGAAACAGGCTTGCTTGGATGTAAACCAGCCGGTACGCCAATGGATCCATACTACAAGGTGGGATCCAAGCAAGACAACATTCCAGTAGACAAAGGAAGGTACCAAAGGCTAGTAGGAAAACTAATCTACCTTTCACACACAAGACCCGATATAGGGTTCCTAGTAAAATTGTAAGCCAGTTTATGGAACAATCCCATAGATGAACACATGGAGGCGGCATATCGAATTTTGAGGAATCTCAAAGGGACAGCTGGAAAAGGAATTGCTTTTATCAAAGGTTCAGATAGAGGTATAAACGTATTCACTGATGCAGACTGGGGCGGGTCTCTCATTGATTGGAGGTCTACTTCAGGCTATTGTACTTTTGTATGGGGCAATCTTGTCACATGGAGAAGTAAGAAACAATCAGCTGTTCCGAGAAGTAGTGCAGAAGCAAGGCAATGTCAAACGAAATATGTGAAGGGATATGGCTTAAGAGACTTCTCGATGAACTTAAAGTTGAAACTTCGGAGTCAATCAAACTCTCATGTGACAACGAGGCAACTATAAGAATTGCAAAGAATTCGGTCCACCATGAATGGACAAAGCATATTGAGATTGATTGACATTTCATAAGCGAGAAAATTGAGGCCAAAGTTATTAGTATTGGATACACGCCGTCACAACAACAAATTGCAGATATCCTTACTAAAGCTCCCCAAAGATTGGCATTTGAAAATCTATGCTCCAAGCTGGGAATGATCAATATATATTCCCAGCTTGAGGGGGGGGGGGTAGAAATATTCAGTATCCTCAGAGATACTCGGTATCCTTAAAGATATTCGGTATCCTTAAAATTACTTGATATTCTTTGTGTATATATGGCCTTTGTATCTCCCTCTTTTGAGACAAATGAAATAAAAGATCCATAATTTGGTGTTATCCCTCAATAAAGTTCATCAAGTTATCTCCTATTCCACTTGTATCAGAGCTTGCGCTCAAAGACCTAGGCCCCCTAACCCTACAAAACCTTGCTCTCATTGCCTTAAAACCCTAGCTTATAAGTGCATTAAAAAACAATATGCTTCTGTTGGAGATTGATTTCTGTTTATTAGTTTGTGAAGTTCTATGAATTGTTCCCTATCAATAAGCTTGTATGCCATCATTTATTTACATCCTTCTCCTACCCTCTGGCATTGTAGATCACTGCAGGTGGTGCAATAATTGGGCTTGATCATTTTAAGCCTATCAGGCCTTTGGGAAGTGGAGATACCGGCAGGTGCATTTTCTGATATTGTTCATCAACTTTTCTGATTTCTACGATCGTTGTAACTGAAATTTGAGATTATGGTCTTCATATTGTTAGCTATAGTCATAGGATTAATTTTTGTTCTGATTAATCGATAATTTTTGTTCTGATTAATTTTATCATGTTGATGCAAACTAAGAAACAAAAAGGATAGGATTTCGGGGAAAAGAAACTAGAAAAGAACTAGGACCTACTATAGCTATGATCTTTTGAGTGTAAGACCAGAGACAACTCAAAGCATCTCATCTTGGGGTTCATTGCTTCATATGATTAACAATGTTAATATGTTATCATTCAATAACATTAGTCATCAAAACCTCGGATTACATCAAATTGAATAGGCTATGAACCAAAATTGTACTCATCAAAGAAGAATGCAAGCAAAAGACTTAAAGCCCCTTAGTAACTAATAAATCATGTAAAATAGTCAAACTTCTTCCCACTTATAAATCCATAATTAAGATAAATTCGTTCCCAAGTAAAATTCTGATAATTTCCATGTAGCAAGTAAAGGAGGTTCATTGATGGCCTATACTTGTGATCCTTCCTACGACATCTTGTTTGTTATTGTGGAAGTTCTTTCAGCCCCCTAGATTTTCCTATTGGAATTTTTTTTCCATTAACAGGAAGTTACTCAATTTGAAATGGTTTGATCTTCGCATTTCTGCCAGATGCCAGGTGACAGAAAAACAAAGCACCCGGATACTTACAATCATTTTTATCATGAGTAATCTCATTTTACTTTTTAAATAGACTTTTGAAGGCTTCAAGGGAAAACCTGAAATCATTTTTATCAGGAGTACCACTGTTTTAGGTCCTGCATCTTGTTTGACCCCCAAAGCATCATCAATGTATAAGTAAACCAAGTAGAATTAGGGGTCAAATTGAACAAATTCTGCCAATTCTTTTTTTTAATTAAAGACTATGCTGATAGCCTGATACAATTTAAAGCTGGCGAGTCTGGTGGTCTTGCTTTCTTCTTCTGATATGGCTATGATTGTTCGTACTGTTTTAGTTGGAACATTTCTCAATTGAACAAGTACAATATTCTTTACTACTGTTTAGTAGTTGCTCCTTATGTTGGTTGCAGTGTTCATTTGGTTGAACTGAAAGGTACTGGTGAACTTTTCGCAATGAAGGCAATGGATAAAGCAGTAATGTTGAACCGCAACAAGGTATGATCATTAAAGACTACTCCAATATCACATGCAACTTGGCAGCTGTATCACAACTAAGTTCAGTTGGCAGACCAACACATTGCACCAAAGAGTGATCCCTTCTGCTCTTGTTAAGTATCCTCTTGTGATGACTTAAGTAGGTTACTTCTATCATGACTAAGGTGCCTAAAATAATTCTTCATGTGCATGTGCTATCTTACTAAAAATCATAAAATCATCACCACTCTGTATAAACGCCCAATAACTTAGGAGAGAAGTGAAACAAGCACATTGAGGCTTGGGCAGAAGGGAAATGCGTAAAGGGTTCGCAGAAAATACTATGGGTGTACTTTATTCAATTTGACATTCCCTTGTCATCAATTACAAGCTGATTAGATAACACTATTCCTTTTGTTTCAATCTGGCCTAGAAGGATGGTCCGAACTGTTGGTACATTCATTATTCTTATCCTGGGGTGTCATCACCTTGTTTCCGAACAAACCAAAAATAGTTGTGGAAAGGTGTAAACCATGATGGATTGATATATTGCTGATGAATGCCAACCTGCACTAACAATTATAGCTAGATAGCTGTTGGGATAGTCTTGTGTTGATGTCACTCGAGGGTTTCTTGTAGTTGTACTATAGGAACATTATATTTGGTGTATTCATCCATTTCTACTTAGTGTTATGTAAGTGTAGTACTCTAAAATTACAAAAAATGTAGAGAGTATGAAACTTGATTTTTTAATGTAAATTGCAGGTTCATCGAGCTTGCATTGAAAGGGAGATAATCGCGCTACTGGATCACCCTTTCCTCCCGACGCTTTACACATCTTTTCAGGTCAAATTTCCCTCTTCTTTTAATTGCTTCGAGGGCTTCATATAAAACATACAGGAATACATGTTACGATGAATTCTGATGGGAAATACATTCTCTATACTTCAGATAAGAAATTAATCATATTAACCCTCTATATATTCCTCTATATATTCTTCACCCAGCATGTTCTACTAGTACATGAGCCACAATAAAAAGGAAAAAGAGAACCTACATAACAAGAAAAGGATATCCGATTTTCACTTTATTCATGGATCCTTTTTCTCATATATTGGTCATTAAATAAGTTATGTTTGTCCTAATGTAGTCTAAAATTTATCTAGTTAGCCATGTGTTCAGTTAAATTCCATTCCCTATTGGTTCTGCTGACTTAACATGCACAGGAGTGATGATTCCGTATCAAAACTTTTGGTGCTCATTAAAGGAAAAAAGTAGGATCCTAAAAGTTAAGAGAATGGATCTCTATTCAGATAACACACATACATAGAAGTAAAAAAAGACGGTGCTGGTAGTGCAACATATACACGCACATGTATTTTATCTTTTCATAACCATGTGGCGGTCTTCATTTTATATGATCTAATATTATTTACAGCCAACATGACTTCATACTTACTGCGCATATGCACTGATCTCATAACTTTAGGATTACCCTAATGATACGGATCTATGCTCTTTTGCAAATAAATTTTATATTAATGATTTTATTTAAAAATTATAATTAGGTTGTAGTAGTAACATACTAATGTGTCTCTGTCTCCTCAGACTCCGACACATGTTTGCTTGATAACAGACTTTTGTCCTGGAGGAGAGTTATTTGCGCTGCTTGACAAACAACCTTTGAAATTATTCAAAGAAGATTCTGCAAGGTACTTCCTAGAGACACCATTACTGATTGCAATCAGTTATACTATTGAGTGGTACAACTGAACTGAGTCTTGGTTCTCAGCTCTAATGTCATACATTACATCAAGTATAACTATTTCCCCAACATTTAAAGCATTCTTTGCTAGAACTTTATGTCATTAAGGATGTAATCATGTCAAAAGAAATTAGATGCTCTTTGTGATTGGGTTCATGGAGGGTTAAACTGTGAAGGTATCTAATCATCTGCACATCAATTATTCCTCAAAGTTACTTCTTCAAGGCTTAAGATACCCTTAAGCCACAAAAAGTTAGCACCAGATTTTTTGCAACACTCCTGATCATTCCCAAATCTTATTGTTTCATGTTGCCACTGCAATTGCATCATTAGTTTACTTTCTTGGTGGGGTTCTTGCGTCAGGTTGACGAACGATGGAAAATACAAATTATGGATCTCATCACATACATAAGTTATCTGATAAACAATATTGTTGTATGGGTACATGTGTAAATAAAAGAAATTAGAAGGGAAGAAAAGACCAATAAGCCCTTAGCACATAATTATTTCAACAATTTAATACTGGATATTCCATACATAAAAAAACTTACTTTTTGGAAATTTCTAAGCTAAATGGCAGCCGTTTTTTCCCTTTGTTTCCTAGTAGGAATCACTTTAAAGTTCTGTTGATGTGAAATAGATTCTGACAAATTGAAATCGTTCCTTTATTGAAAGTGAGTTTGTGTTTCATGTATGCTTTTAGTGAAATTGTCCCCTCTCATTTAATTGCTGTCTGCAGGTTCTATGCAGCTGAGGTCGTAATTGGCTTAGAATATCTCCATTGTTTAGGTATCTCTTCGTCCAATGTCATAAGAAATTGATGATACTTACCTTGTAAATTTCTGCTTTTCTATTGAAGTGAAGCATGTTTTCTTTCTTCAATTTAAGTTCCTTAATGCCTCTGCTGGTTATATTTTGTGTTGCTACGGAACTTGTTAGGAGACTATTTTACATGGTTATGCCCGAGACTAAAATCTTACACCATAATCCACATTCAAAAGTTTATGTATATAGATATATTAATAACGAAGTACTTGTTCTTTAGAGAGTTAGGGTTCAAAAGAAGGTGGACATGGGCTTGAACAGATAACTTACAACCCTAGTAAACAATAATAACAATCCACCTCACTCTGGGGCATAGATGTAAGTCATATCCAATCTGCCACATATAGAGTCAATTGGAGTCTCCCTTAGAGGCTTCATCAAGTGCTCAGGTCCAAAGGTGAGTAGGCAGAATGGAAGGAGGCTCTGTAGCAGTCCCTGAAGCATGGTTATGTACCAAGTAACACAGTCCAGCTGTATTTGGTTCCTAGTTCTTTGAAATGTGAAAGTCTACATGTCTTTCATATAATCTCACATGACATATATGCCATAGCCCAATACTCAAAATATTGCACTCAAGTGAGAAATGATTTCATGCTTCTTAGTCCACGAAACCAGGTTACTGCAACTAAAGCACAACACCCCACTATCAAAATCCGATTAATTAAGCATCTCACCCTGTCAGCTTTTTGATAAAAGCCTTCCATTGTGTACATTCCTTCCTAAATGAAGCTCTTACTATGCCGTGTCCTTGATTTGCATACAACGTACCTGTTTAGTATTCTCGGTTTTTATTTTCTTAGTTGATGGATGATCTGTTCGACCTGACATATTTTTTGAGAGATCCATTTCAACCTGCAAACAGTGGCGGATAAAGGGGCTTGCAGGGGCCATGTCCCCTGTGCTTTTTTCTCTCTTAAGTTGGTTTCTAGTGTTTACATATGATAAAAAAAGAATTGTTTGAGTTGGGCCTCTGCCATACTCACTCCATTATCCAGATTCAACATAGTTAAAAATTAGAAAAAAAAAAAAACTATCATTTGCTTTGTTTTGTTTGAGTTGTAATATATATATATATATATATATATATGTACATTATATATTTTATATGAGCATATTTAAATGAGAACCTCATACATTGTGATAACCGTAGGCACTTTTGTTCTTAAGATATTGTTTCACATGGTTTTTTTCCATCTAAGGTTAGTATTTAATGTATTAAATTAACATTTATTTATTTCATAATGTGTTTCTTTCATATGTATTCAGTTCATAATGTGATACATTTTAGATGCACTTTTTGTTTCCAAAAAGGCCAAAAAAATTCACGTTGTGAAACAAATATATGGTAATAAACACCATAAATCCTAGCATTAGATGAAAAAATCCTCACAATTTTGTGGGTTCTCAAATGATTAATCTCATTCATATATATATATATATATATATATGAAGGTGGTTTGCACGGTTTACACAAATGAGGGCGGTTTTCATATGATCACTCCTCTATATATATATTCATATATATATATATATTCATATATATATATATATATATATATAATAGTGGGGTTCAAATGACAACACATATTTAAAGAGAATAAGAAAACGGTCGAATCATATGTGATTTTTGTACTAACATCATGTACAAAATCACATGTGATTCACACGAATTCACCCCATGACCTGAAGACGCAACCAAAGTCGCCCGCACACCTTTTTTTGGCCGTTCATGTAACATCCCATGATTTTGCACGTAATTTGGCCGTTTTCGTATTCTCTTAAATAGTTAGTATTCTCGTTTGATCCCCCCCTCTCTCTCTGTATATATATATATATATATATATATATATATAATATATATATATATATATATATAATATATATATATATATAATATATATATATATATATAGTTGGGTTCCAGTGAGAAACAGAGTTAAGTTGAGAAGCGTAAGAAGGGATCTTCACCCTTGGATTAGGATAAGATGCACCGAGATGCACCGGATCAATCCCCGTATCAAGCATGATTCATGGGTGAGTTTGAGATTAAAGTGATCAATGGTCCAGATCCCTTCTTACGCTTCTCACCTTAACCCTCCTTCTCACATGGTCCTTCGCCTATATATATATATGTGTGTGTGTGTGTGTGTGTGAGAATATGAGTTAAGGTGAGAAGTGTAAGAAGGGTTTTGGATCACCCATGAGTTGCGCTTTAGAAGAGCATCTATCTTGACGAACGAATATTAACGAACTTGAGCAAGCACATTTTCTTAACGAGTGAACATGAACATAAAAAATCCGTTCGTTTACCGTTCGGTTTGTTTACAGCCCTAATTTTAGTTAGTGTTTTTTTGTGTTTTTTTAGAACATATATGTCTATTACATTGAAGCAAACTATACTCGTTTATACGACACATTTATAAAATTTAGGTTCGTCCCCCTCGTTTAAAAAGCTTGTGTTCCGCCTCTGCCCACAAAACGAGAATTTTTTGAGGTGATCATCCCTACAACAATCCTAAAAAAAGGTGGGTTTCTTGTGGGAGTTTTCCGCCAAGACAACTGTATTAATCTGAATGTTGTTCCACCGTAATAACATATTTATGATCATTGCCTAATATAGTTATATATTGTCATGGCAATAAACTAGGATCTCAATCACTTAATAAATTCTTTCTTCATTGAATCTTTTAGGACTAACTTTTAATTTTCAGCATAAGGACAATGTATTGTTCTTGATGTAAGTTTTTGTCTTTTGCAGGTATCATTTATAGGGATCTGAAACCAGAGAATATACTACTTCAAATAGATGGGCATGTTGTATTGAGCGACTTTGATCTATCATTTCGAACATCATGTAAACCCCAAGTATGTCTTCTTCAAAATATTTAAATATTTTGTACTTCACAATCAAGGATTACCTAGTTGTTTCTCCTTTTGACACATGCATATTCATGGTCCATTAGATAATATTTTTGATAGGAACCAAGGAAGTTTTTATTGAGAACAAACAGCAAGAATCAAAATATGAAATCAATCTGCTTTCAAGAGGCAGCTTATATAGAGTTGTTTATCTATATAGTACTTGACTTCTCCTAGTCCCTCTATATAGTGTTTGTTAACTGTGGAAATACTTTCATTGCTTATTTACCAATCAACCCTAGATTTAAACCAGCATGGGTCATGAGTCTAACATTCCTCCCCTCCCAGAAAGACCTCGAGGTATAGCCATATAGGTCCCAAGTTTTTGTGCCAATCAATGAACGAGGCTCGTGTGTGAGTCTTAACTGTTTTGCTACATTTGTGGTGTTTTATCTCCAATGCTTGATTAAGGTTTTTATCATCAGACTCTTTTAGGAACTTGGTAATCGATAATGTTTATCTGTCAGTAAATTGTTGGGATGGATAATAGATTATAAAAGAGGGCGGACAATTTGTAGTGTTATTAGCATGTGCATCTATTCTTTTCTTGCTATGTCTATCGTTGAGTCTTGGGGTTCACACAATGTCTCGATTACTAGGGAGAATCCATTAGCCCCTCTTAACTTACCTTAGTAGTGCCCATCCTTCCTCACTCATGCTAAACTACTTATATACCTAAGTCCTAAAGTCTGAGTGTAGACAAGAGTCTTGCATAACTTGTTATACATGAGATCGATTTTAGTCTTGTTTTGAGTCTTTTTCGTGATCTTAGCAAGCTGGTACTTCGTCTGAACAGGATAGGCCAAATGGGAGGAGTTTTTGTAGCAGTACCAGACTACCAGTAGTAGGATTACACACCAAATGACAGACAACTTCAATATGTTTGGTAATTTGGTACGGTTGTAGGTTATCTAGTTCTTGTAGTATGAATAGTTGCTTGACTGGCAATAGAAGTGCATCAATCGTTGAGTATCTGGGTTTTTGTAGTTATAATCACTTGGATAATTCTTGGATTGTGTATGAATCACACTTTCCAAATACTATATTTCGACCCTTTAATGCCTCAGGTTGTACGAAATTAGTATTGGGATAATCCAAAATTTTCACTCTCATTTCATGGCATAAATTCGAGTATTTATATCCACTAGATTAATCGTTTTATGTATCTATAAGAGAGATCGACGGTTACGGGTGGTTAGGCGGCTAACATGTAACTGCAAAGCAGTTACAACCGCTAATAAATAAGATGGAACCTGGATCGGTAACTGACTTAGAAGCACGGAAGGACCTAATCAGAAGGCCTAGAAGCTCCGAGTCAAAGGCATTCTGATTTATACTTGGTCTAAAATTACAAAGTTTCAGGACCAACTCAAGAAGGATCCTAACCTTCTTCCAGAACGTCCCAAAATTTAAAATTCCTAAGTAAACCTATCCATAAAATTCGTAGAGGTTTAGGCGCGTTGCCTCGTTCAGTGGGACCACCTGCTTGGGGCGCTGCCCCTTGGACCCCGCCTTATGGTGATCTAAGGTGATAGGGGCAACATTTGTGCGTACTCTGCACCTCCCAAGTCACATTATGTTTGCCTTGTTACCTAGTTGATCCCAAGTAAATCACAATTACACCAAAATGGTTGATGACACCAAAATGGTTGATGACACCAAAATCACCAACATTAATTTGTCTAGAGCTCCCGTCTATACTATCACATATGAAATGTATTGGTTGGTATGGTACCCTGAATTTATATGAATTTGAGAAACCACTTTGCTCTTTTACTATGAACATTTCCATCGATAAAGACATCTCAACCACAGATGGACCTTAGAGTTATCAGGCACCCTGCTTACTATGTGAAGAGTCCTCATGTGTCCTTGATCTCTGTAGAAGATACCTCTCCTCAGAATACCTTTTAAATCCTGTAAATGGGAAACCCTTCACCCATGGCACTTTTATTCTTTTCTTTTCTGGAAGCCTGTCATTTTCTGGCTTATCTTCTCCTGCGTGAGGTAACAAAAAAATGTGCTCAGCTATATTCAACATGCACAATAAAGTCTATCTTACAGATGATTAAGTTATATAGTGTCACCTTCATTTTCAAATATATGTGGCTTGATTTCTAAATTATGGAAGTCTTGGGGCAGTTTTACAGTTTTCGGAAGTCTGCGGTCTGTTCGGTCACTATGGTAAAATTCATGCATTGCACGAAATTTCAAGTGAGAATTTCTGGATTGTTTCTTATTAGTCGAGTATTGAAGGATTGTTCGTAATTACCCTGTAATTTAGGAGGCGTTTGGTTCAGGCAAGGGAATGAAAATGGAAATGACAGAGAATTAAAATGGCAATGAATTTTCATTCCCCCCAGCTTAATGTGGATTGAAAATATGGCTTATGGGGGAATGGACCCATAATTACTGTTTAATACCTCCAACCAAACACCCCCTTAGGGGATTTTCATAATCAAAGGAAGTTGTTGGATTTTCATATTCCCTCTTTCTGTTAATTCTAATATGGAAAGAGAAGGAGCTTATCCAATTGTACAAATTTAATTCCGTTGTTGGATGATAGAGATCTATGGTCCAACTTCCTAGTCATATTAGACTTAAGTTTACTCTTATTAGAGTTAGAAGGCAACATTAGGAGATATTATTGTTAATTATTTTGGGCATATTTTTTGTGACAGTTTTCTTCACTGGTATTGATATTATTCTCATTGATGATACAAGTATGAAATTGAACTTTTCATATTTTAAAACAGTGTCATCTGTGCATAAGTATGCATATAACTGGTGTCCTAATAGATCCCGGATTCTTATCGTATGTTACTTATAATTTTGCAGGTCATAAAACATCCTCAGCCTAAAAGAAGAAGATCTAGGAGTCAACCACCACCTACATTTGTTGCAGAACCATCCACACAATCAAATTCATTTGTTGGGACTGAAGAATACATTGCTCCGGTATGACGAAACTTTGCTTTTAACTAGGATTGATAACCTGTGTTATTTTGAAATTAGTTTATTCATAATGACCTGAAGAACTTCCTCCTATTGGTTATAGGCTATCATCAGTTAGTTCTGCAGATACCTTGAATAATGCTTGATATACGGTCGTAAGTCTTGTTATGAGGCAATTTGAAGGTCTTTTCTTATGAAGATCCAGTACCTGCAACATCTATCTGAGCTATTAAAATAGGAATTAAATGGTTGAGGTTTAAGGCTTTTAAGGTCTTCCCTGTTGAGTGTAAATATAACACACATCTTCCCTATAGCAAGATACTGAGCAGAAAGAAAGATAGAAATATTGCAAAGTAGTACTATGTGAATTTAGCTGAACTACAGAAAAAATGATGACACAGAAGGAACTGCAAACTTTTCTTAAGGGAACCTAAAATTAAAGAACATACATTGCATGTTGTACAATCTCAAATGGATATGGCCATGGCCATTTTTGGGAAAGGAAATCTCGTATCCAGTTAGGTAACTTCACTTTCTTCCCAGAAGAAAAGCGCAGCTTGTGAATATAACAGTTGGTGTGTCTGCAACAACTACTGAGTGTTACATATTTTTTTTGGTAAATTATCATTGAAGTTATTTACTAGGGTAAATTACTGAAATCGTCCCTGGACCATCACTCAAATTGCCTTGATAGGTCTTTAGCAATGAATTACAGGATCCATCCTTGAAAACGTGAACAATGGATGTTGTACATGTATGCCATTCACACCGTTAGATGAAGGGCAAATAGGCAATTTCAATTCTTATATAACAAAATCCATCCCTCTACAAAATTATCTAATAACAATTAGTATAATATTTAATACCAGTTATGTTATTGTTATAATTACATTTTGGTTTATATATTAAAAGAGAATTACAAAGATAAACAAATTTCTAGTAAAAAATGAAAGCTTCCTAAGCAAGCTTTTTGAAACAATCCAAACCTACCAAAACACAATTGAATCTTCCAAATGGAACGTTGGACATGCAGGTGCTCAGCACACCATCTTCATCTTCTTTTGCAAAGGGACCTTTATGTATTTAACCTTCAACAACTGTTGAAGCCATGCTTACAGTGACACGTGCAAATAGATGCCACTGCAAATGAAGATAACTGTTCGGGGTAGATATATCCAAGCCTAAAGAACACACAAATGCATATTAAGAAAGCCAATTAAAAAATGCAGCACTGCCCATAATCAAAAGAAAACAGAAGGCCTGCCATAATGAAATGAACTTGAAAGTTGATTGGTACAGCTACTGACCCATAGGCAAATGAACACAAAATTCATGGTTGAGAACAACAAAATATGGAACTGAAAATGAAGATTTTTTTTGGTTTCAATTTTTTAGATTTTTGTTTTTGAATGTTTTTTTTCTGTTTTTGTTCTTCAAGAGGTTTAAGATGAAAGAGGGATGAATTGAAGAAGATGATAATGATATAATTATTTTGAAATAAGACAACAAATAATGTTATTATTAGTAATTATTAACATTTTTTGAGGGATGATTTTTTTTGTTATAAAAACTTAAAATGGCCAATTCCCCCCTTTACATAAATTATACAATGTTTTTCATTTTCAGGTATGAATCTTGTGATTTATTGCTAATAGACCTAAGCATGCAAATTGATTTATACATCAGGGACAATATTTACAATTTACCCTACTTATTATGTTGACGGTAAATTACAATTATTGTTCCTGAAATTTGTAACTCAAATTGCACGGGTAGGTCTATCTTGAAGCTTAATCAGGTGAAAGCTGCTACTCTAGATCCAAGACTGATTTGACCTCCTATTTACTGATGCTGTAATCACAATTATAAACTGTAACATTTGATTAAGAAATCTGTAAAACCAAAATTCAAATAAGAATGATTGACAATCAACAACTTCACTTAAACTGCAACGCGTTGAGAAGAAAATTTGATAGCACCGGAAAAAAAGGAAGAAAAGGGAGTTAGAGTTGTAAGAATAATCAAAATAATTAACATGTAATTACCTTTACTATAATGTCCTTGTTATGTATGAAGTTAAATCATATAGATCGTATGGTAAATCAAATTTCAGAGGATTAACTGAAAGAAGATTGTGTTTCATACTTGATACACATAATTAGACGTTCTTATTCAGGTATCAGCACTTCACTTATAAAGGCTGAAGCTACATGATTATGTAAGACAGATGGCTTAAGCCTGATTTTCATATGTGGTGAAGCCTGACCACTCAGTGAGCCTGCTTTTATAAGGCCAAATACCTCTGCTTATTCTTTGTTATCCATGGAATGCTCAAGTCTCAAACTAGCTTCGATTGGCCCACATTATTATCACCTTATGATTTTGATGCACGAAACCGTGCAGATTCTTCCATAATTGCCATTTGCAATATAATATGATGAAAGAATAATGATAATGATAGTAATAATCTTCTGAGTATGATTATTGATTTGATGTACCTAAAGGGCTGTAGGAACACAAATACATCTGCTTATTTTAACTAATGAAATGATAATGAAGATTATCATTATTATAACTATTAGGGAGAGACTTCTATTGGGAAGGTAATACATGTTGACAATTACATTCCTTCAGTCCACTAAGTGTACTACAAGTTGTTTATGCTAAATGCCTTCTGACTTGAGTGATAATACCATTGTATGTAAAGTTCATCCTGGAAAAGTATCAAATAGACATAATGTAGAAACTTATAGTGTGCGAACTTGTCAAACCAATATTACTATTGCTTACAAGCTACTGTTGTTTTTTCTTTTTAATTAACCTTTGACATCCTCACATAAATCAATGTTCCTGAAATCATCTAAGTACGCCTTTATAGAAGACAACAAAATATTTAACACAGAATATATATCGTGAAACCTTTGATGCTAACTTAAAGCACCATTCTTAGCCATGAAATGTACACCAATTTCATATCTTTTCATTTTTGTACAACTTCTTGGGATTCTTAAATATGAAATTATTTCAGGAAATCATAACAGGAGCTGGCCACAGCAGTGCTATTGATTGGTGGGCTGTCGGTAAGCTCATTAATTTTCATGATCCTATGCCTTTCAGTTATTATAGTTCGTTCCATCTTCTTTTCTTCCATGGCAACAACTACACCACCATGGTTTCTAATTTATGCAATATATTGATAATGTTGATTTGGTGATTATTAAATCATGAGCAGGTTATATGAGAGGTGCAGATTTTTAGGGATCTGGTTACGATCAGATTTTCGCTAGCTGTTAAGTTTTTTGGAAAGTATACTAGCCGTAATTGCCTCTTATAATTCTTAGATCATCTGGAATTGAGGACTAGTTTCCTAGTTAGTTATAAATTGCACCAAGTATATCATTGGTACCAAAATTATTGATGATTATGGTTCTGTAATCAGAAGAAAATAATTTCCATTTAGGTTAAGTTATTTAATCACGTGGCTCATGATATATGAGTGTTGTCATGATAGGGGTATACTGATGATCAGGATTTCACAAGTTACCTCTAGCAGATAATGTTTTTTTTGTTGAGGGTTATATGCCAGTAAGTTGAATTTTCATTTAACCATAGGTATATAACCAGCAAAGCACAGAAAAGTTTCATTTTCAGATTTGAGTAATAAACCCAAATAGCAGGAGAATAATTGTCAACAAAAGTGAACAAACATTTGCAACCAAAACTAATTGGTTGTGCAAATTCCTCGTCTGTCATCCTAGCTTGCTACAAATAAAAGTAATATAGGAGTCTACTGCTTGGGGATTCATCAATACCTTAGCAGCTTTCTGCTGCTCGAATATGAAGATGCTAGATGGATGGAGGCTCTATAGTGGTTCCTGCAACAAATCTTCACATAAATGACAATCGGCCTATATAGCTTTTGTGTGTTTGTGGAAACATATGTTCGATTGCATATGCATTATTCACAGATGATTACATTTCAACCACATCAACTTGTCCATGAAAGCACCAACATCATGTAGGATGTGTCATATCCAAGTCATCTCACATGAGATGGCTACCATGTTTGACAAAGATATAGTAACCGATGGTGAACTTCTCAGTAATCAGTTATCTTGCCCATTGACATATGAAAGGTCTATTACTGCCATTCCTCCCTCCAAAGTTCCTCAGGATAGTGTGTAGTAAACAAACATAATTTACTGACTATTCTCATAGGGATGTTTTGAAATGTAACTGTCATGTAAATTAAGCTTCCTAATCTCTTGTGATCCTATGGAACTCTGGGAGAGCATCCTGTGTTTGCCATTCTAAGTCAAATTGCGTCTACTAGTTTCCATCCAAGTAACCCATAAACAAAACATATTTGCTCTAGCAAATAAGAATCCCCTTTAGGACCATGACACCTCAATTATTTGAAAATAACCTTTGTACTTAAGATCTGGAACTCTACTAGCCTCTAAGGTCGTCCTTGGTGATCACAACATTAGCCACAAACTACTAAAATAGCCGTGGACATACCAAACAACTGATGGGAAATGAGCAATCTAAGCTTTAGACCACAAAAGGTCTTTGAAGACGACAAACTTTGAAATGTGCTCTCCTCCAACACAAAAGCTCAATGGTTGATCCAATAAAATTGCTTCTCCCTAATATCCAACTAATGGTGTCTAGTAGTGAATGATAAAGCAATGCAAATCCAAGAGCATTTTTTGGACAGGTGGCCATGCAATTGGTCTCATATGGTTGAGCTAACCCTTGATCACAAAACTAGCTTTTGGACAATCAAGATGATGCGTCATAGTCAACACCCATTTGCAAACAATGAAGTTCCTTTTTACACCAAGTTCATATAAGAATTGATGCTTTTTCTTGGCTTTGCATCATCGAAGATGCACAAGTTCCTTTGGCAAGATCTTGTAATATGATACATCTTAGATAGAAACTAGAATCTTCTGTACAAGTACAACTGCCCTTGCACATGGATATAGTATTGATGTCGTTTCTTTACAGCATTATACTGTCTTTTGTATATATATTCAGCATGTTCATTTGACCTCAAGTGCATGGAATTTAACTAAATTTTATGATATTCTTATTTGATTATTTTTCTTTCAGGTATTTTGTTATATGAGATGCTTTATGGTCGGACACCATTTAGAGGAAAGAACAGGCAGAAGACATTTGCAAACGTCTTGCATAAAGACCTAACGTTTCCGAGTAGCATTCCAGTAAGAATATAATCTCTACTGTGCAAGGACTTGGATTATTCAGATTGAATAAGCCCTAACTTGTATAGTTATGAGATAAATGTTTTTTCCATCTTTGAGTTGAATTACTTGTTATCTTAACTTGTCATTATTTACTCGAAAACTCATTTTATGGCAATGTATGTTCAGGTTAGTCTTGCAGCAAGACAGCTGATTCATGCACTGTTGAACAGAGATCCTGCCAGCCGTTTAGGATCAATTGGTGGTTCCAATGCAATAAAAGAGCATGCATTTTTCCGTGGAATTAATTGGCCTTTGATCCGCTGCATGGTATGTACTCGTACATTCAAGGGAAATGGTAAATAACAACATAATCACCTGTAATCATAACAATAATAATAATCCATGCAGATTCCGCCACCGTTAGATTCACCTCTCGAGTTCATTGAGAAAGATCCAAATGCAAAAGATGTACAGTGGGAGGATGGTGCCATGCTAGATAATTCTTTGGACATATTTTAGAGGTTTATTTCTCATTGTCCCTTGTTTTTTGTTTGTTCGGGTAACGATTTTTTCCCCCTCCCTGAATTACAAAAAAAAAAAGACCTTTTAAAAATCTGATCCCCCTTTTAGGGCGCCTTGGGAGGTTTTTTCCCATGAGTTTAGTTTCCTTATTTTCCCATTTTAGTTGTTAAATGTAAAATTTTCAGGTGCAAGGATGTTAAATGTAAATGACAGATAAGAAAACATCATCATCGTTGGTGCTTGTTTGTTGTGTCGACGTCCTGAGGTCAGCCTTTCCGATTGTACAAAGAACATATCATCCCGACCGAGTACCTTTGACGATCTCTGGTTCTTATGCATTCGAGTTTTAGGTTAGTTCATGTTTGGATGAAGAATCTTTAATTATGTAATCTTTTTCATCGACTACTTTCATATCGAATGTCATAATAAAACAACAACATATGCATTAGTAAATAATGAATAAATGTGTTGGGAATTAAGCAAAGGTCATTGCCCACATACCAACATTAAATTCTGTTGATGATAAGTATCTATTGCCCTAGCTTTTGTATCATACCAACTGTTGATTACAAGTATCTCTAAACATTAAGGTCCTGGGTTCAAAACTGATTTATCTCTTTCATGATGACCGTGGTATCAGTACCACGATCAGTATCGTATGGTAGGGATGTTTCATACCCTTTTTAAATTTTTGGGATATCTCTAAATCATTTTATATTTGTGTGTGTGTGTGTGTTTTCTTTCCAACTGTTTTACTGAGAGAAAGTGCCCTTGAGTTGGATGAAGTAGTTCTCTTGTTCTAGTGTATGTACCAACCGTGGGGTCGTGTCAATAACTGAATAAACATCACCAGAAACAAAATCTTCGCATTGTTTGACATCGGCATATATGTGTTTGTGTGCATGTGCATATGCATGCGCGCCATTAACATGCACATAATATGACTTGTAAGTGAAATAAAAATAACATGATCTTTAAAAAAATTATGACTCCAAGAGAAACATTTAGAAGTAAATGTAGAATGGGGTGCCACAATAATCACATGAAAATGAAGATGGTGAATGTTTACAAAAGTATTTGAATGATATTCATTACGAGTAATTAATATGAAACAATTATTACTTGTATAATTTTTTTATAAAATAATGTCATATATTCTTCAAATCCTACCATATTTATTTATATAAATGTTTCAAATTTTTTGGCAGATTTACTCATAAATCGCTTAACATTTGAACGATTTACATGAATATGGACTAACACTTGCACGGTATCACCAAAAACACTTAAAACTTGAGTGATATTATCATAATTCGCTCAATACACAAGCGATATACTCAAAAATATTTCACCAAGTCTCTTCCACAAGCGATATACTCAACAAAATCGGACAAGCCTATCAAGAACTTCAATGAGCGATTGAGGAAATCGCCTGATACAAATCTTCAATGAACGATATATGCAAATCTGACAGACTTGTGAACAAATTCGTCCAAAACTTTCAAAAAGTCAACCAAATTGATTCAAACTAACGCAAAATTGTTTGAAAACTGATTACATACAAGTTTTGTAAGCAAAAACTTGCTAAAAACATATCAAAATGGTCCATTTTATTAGAGAGAATGATTTCCTTGATTGATTAGACAAAATACAATCATTTAAATATACAACAAATGGGCCATGGGCCAAACGCTATACGAGCTAATAAACTAAGCCTAATATACAATGTGATCTGCTAACATCCCCCCACAGTTGGAACGTCCGAATTGCGAACGTTCAAACTGGATTTGAAATCCAAAAATAGAGAATGAGATAGCCCCTTCGTGAAGATGTCTGCTTACTGAGAGCTCAAGGGGACATGGAGGGCCCGAACGTGACCAATGGCAACTTTGTCATGAACAAAGTGAATATCAATCTCTATATGCTTTGTGCGTTGGTGCTGAACCGGATTGGACGACATGTATACATCACTGACATTATCACAATAGACGATTGTGGTTTTCGTGGGCGGTCGGTGGAGCTCGCGAAGTAAGTTACAAATCCAACTTGTTTCAGCGAAGATGTTTGCGACTCCACGATATTCGGCTTCAGCACTAGAACGAGAGATAACACCTTGACGTTTGGACGACCAAGACACAAGATTATCTCCCAAGAAAATGTAGTATCCGAACGTGGATCGTCGAGATGCCGGACATCCCCCCCAATCTGCATCAGAGTAAGCTGTAAGTTCGGATGAGGGGGATACATGAATCTGAAGACCATGGTTAAGAGTGCCTCGAATGTATCGAAGTATGCGTTTGAGAGCATGAAAATGTGACTCTCGAGGATCATGCATATAGAGGGAACGGCGAACGCTATATCCGGGCGTGTGAAGGTGAGATACTGAAGAGCTCCGGCAAGGCTGCGGTATAGGGTGGGGTCACGAACGGGTGGGCCATCAGCGTTAAGCTTATGACCCGTTTCGGCCGGAGTGCGCACTGGATTACAGTTAACCATGTTTGCGCGTTCAATGATATGAGAGACATACTGCTGTTGAGATAGAAATAGACCTGTAGATGATCGCGAAGCAGAAATTCCCAAAAAAAAATTGAGTGCCCCGAGATCTGTCATAGCGAACTCATGGCCAAGTAGGGTGATGATTTGGTGAAGGAACTCTGTGGATGAGGTCATCAAAATGATATCGTCAACATATAGAAGAAGATATGCAGTGGCCTGAGGAGAGTGGTATAAACAATGACGTATCAGTGCGACTATGCTGAAACCCGAGCCGAAGGGCATACTGTGCAAACCGATGGTACCACGCACGTAGGGCCTGTTTAAGGCTGTACAGAGAGCATTGAAGATGGCACATGTGATCCGGGAAACGTGGATCTCGGAAGCCCGGTGACTGATGCATGTATACAGTCTCCTGAAGGTGACCGTGAAGAAACGCATTCTTCACGTCTAGCTGATGAATCGGCCAGTGCTGAGAGACCACAATACTGAGGACAGTATGAATGGTGGCCGATTTTACAATTGGATTAAAAGTTTCATCACAGTCTATCCCCTGCTGCTGACTGCGACCATTGGTCACCAAACGGGCCTTGTAGCGAGAAAGCGAGCCATCTGCATTAAACTTGTGGAGTGAGCTGTCGAGAGAAGCACTTGAGGGTTGGAGGGGTTGACCGGGTAGAGGGGACCATCGCTATCACATCAGATTAGAGGGCGCTGGGTCTTGTAGTCCTTAACAGTAAAACCCAAACTGTCAAACTCAATAGAAGTTTTATTTTGACGAGTAAATTGACGGACATATATGAGATTTTTGATAATAGTGGGAGATATGAGGATATGTCTAAGATGCAAAGAACGATACGGTTTTGTGATGGGAAAAGGGGCATCTCCGGTGTGCATTACAGGCAT